TTCCTTTCCTCGCTTGCTGTCCTCCTCAGACCACATGTGCTCAGCAATGATTTGTCCCTGACATACCTCCCCATGTACACACACACACACACACACACACACACAGAGTGCAGACAGACTGAAACATAAACACATATTCACAGATGTACACATGTACAAACTCCTGAATCAGGAACACACACATTGCCAAAGGGCAAGCAGAATTCTTTCCAATACACACACCGACACACACACTCACACATCTGCTACTGCACTCTGCTGGCCAAAACATGTTATTACACCAAAGGTTCCTCCTAAAAGCCAGCTGGCTGACAGCGCTTCTGAGAGCACCTGTTGACCTCCCTGAAGCACAGAGCACAGAGTGTGTGTGTGTGTGTGTGTGTGCGCGCACTAAAGGCATGTTGGAAAGTCATCATCGGGCCAGCAGGGAGAGATATAGGGGGCCAGTCAAAGCCGGATGGTGGAGGTCAAAGGTTAAGTATTCTGCACTATGGAGTGGCAGCCTGTGAAGAAGCAGGAGATGTGTACCAGCCTGAGCCTTACATCTGCTGATATATGCCTGTGTGTGTGTGTGTGTAAAAAGCCAAAAATACATCTTCATATGATGACACAAACAGTTTGGCTTCTTCTTTGTCTCTTTGTCTCTCACTGACACCTCTTCAGTTCAGTCCGTTATTGATATGAAACATTTGACCAGCACTGTGTTATTCACCGTATTTATAACTCTATTTAAATCAGAGCCACATGTAATGAACTGGACTCCGCTCCCTTTTCTTCTTTGTGCTTAGAAAAACATCACAGTTTTATTTCAGATGGATGGATTCTCTTTCATTTAGTTTTTTGCTCTCTGGTCTTAGTCCATTTTTTTGTCAGTTATTGATTGATTGATTTATTGCAGCAGGACACAGGTCAGTCCAACTTCATAAATAGTGTTTTGGATGCGAACCTGAGTCAGTCTCTGCTGGCTGCCTCATGCTGACCATAAGACTTGGTCCAAAACTCTGAAACTGTGATTCGTACAGGTTTCCCACAAACTACAATGTTTCTTTAGTAGATTTTAAACTTTCAGGTGTGTGTGTTGGTCTGAAGTTGTTGTTTTGTTTGTTGTTAGGTTGTTTGCAGTTGGTATTAACTGCCTAATTTCTCCACTTTACAAAACAAGAGATTCTACACTACTACTGTAATTAGCCTCAGCAGTGCTTTGAGCTAAATGCTAACAAGATCATAATCACAATGTTAATGCATGCTAACATTAAACACAAGTAGGCTACAAGCTGAGGCCAATGAGAATATGTCATAGAAGAAATGAGGGAACTTTTGGATCAATATTTATTTTTATTTTTTTTTTAGGAATGTGAACTGATGTTTTACTTCTTTTGTATTCATTTTGTTTTGCTCACATCCCTGCATTTTTAATAGCCATGCTAGCTAATACATTAGTTTAGTACCGGTACTTTGGTTTCTGACCAAATACCTGAAAAACTAATTTAGTGTTTTGTAGTAATTAGCAAATGTTAGCATGCTAAGCTGCAAAACCACAATGATGAACATGGGACCTGCTGAACATCAGCATGTTAGCTTCAGCACTGTGAGCATGTCAGCACGCTGGTGTTAGCATTTATGGTGAATTTCCCAGTTCTCAGTAAATTCCAACGCAGTGAACTTGGGGGTGATGTCATGCTCAACACCAACCTCGGACTTCTGAGGTAAATGGAAGACACCATTAGCTCAAAGCACAACTTTACCTTGTCTTACAGAATAATCGGCTGTATTGTTCTTAATAGGCTTTTCATACGGACTATATTTCATATATAGTCTACAGTAGGCCGTTATAGCATACTGTACAACACCTACTGTACACACTCACATCATCATGTACTTCACAGTTAGATATTAGTGTTAAAATTCTAGGTTGGTGTCCCCTGGTAGCTCACATGGCCATGGGTTCAGGCTCTGATGTGTGCACAATGTGTGTTAAAGATAAAATAACCTTCTCTGGGTTGGAACAAAGTCTGTCGACATAACATGAGTTTATAATAATGAAGCCGATTAGGCAGGTTTAAAGTTAAGGGTGTTGATTAAATTAGATGCAAGGACTTTGCCAAAGCTTGTGTAGTTCAATGAATTAATGACTCCTCAGTTCATTAAAGGAAAAACTAGTGTGAATTAATACAGACTGAGAATAATGCAGATGGTGCCACGGGAGCTAGAAGTGAGAGGTGGTTTAAGACAATAGCTAATTTGAAAGGAAAACACTGGTTTAGATGAGGAGGGAAATAATTAAATGAGATGAGGAGGAGGAGAGGAGGTTGGTCTGTTGTGTTGGTGTGACCGGGTTATTTATCTTTATTTATGTTTCACACTGCGGCGAGAAACAGGGGAATAAACTGTGTGTGTGTGAGAGAGAGAAAGAAGGATTGCAAAAGGGGTTCATGACAGATACATTTCAGTACCTTTAAATCATCTAGTTTTTTTTTTCATTTCTATATACCAAAGCCCCTACAATAGCCCATTTCAGCAAAACCAAAACTCTGAAATATACTGACGGCATCAGAACAGCAACACACTGTAAGCAGATACAGCACACAGGGAGGCTACACTTGTTATGTAGTGACAGTGGAGGTATAGTGTGAAAACAGGTGTTACAATATTACTGTTTTTCAAATTGTATTCTGTATTACTTGGTGATCATCAGCAGTGGAAGAAGTACTCAGATCATTTACATATAGTGAAAGCCCAGAATGGGCCTAATATATATGATATTCCTGGATTATAATCATTGATAGATTAATGTGTATGTGTCATTCTAATGTCACAGCTGGTAAAGGTGGAGATCATTTTTAATGACTATATACTGCTGGGTAGTTTAAAGGATTTAGTGGCATCTAGTGGTGAAGTTGCAGATTGCAACTAACTGAACACCGCTGTAAATGATGATGGGGGAATGAGAACGGACTGCAAAGTGGCTGTGAAACTCGCAAAAAATAAAAAAGGTCGTATCTATAGCCATTTGGTTTGTCCATTCTGGGTTACTGTAGAAAGATAGCAGTTCAACATAGGCAGTAGTGTAACTAATTACTGTTGGCAGGGAATAATAAGTAAAGTAATAATATTACTTTTGAGCAACAAATTAGAGTAATGAAAACTAATAATAAAAAAGATGTAATAAATAAAAATGTTTGAGTAACTAGCCCAACACTGTTCAACTAAATCTGTAAAGTAACTACACTGTAAATAGTGAAGTAAAGGTACAGTATTTCTCTCTGAAATGTAGTGGAGTAGAAGTGACATAATATGGAATTACTTGAGTAAAGTACAAATACCTTCAGATTCTTCTTAAGTACTGTACTTGAGTAAATGTGCTTTATGTTACTTTCCATCACTGGTGATCAGGTAGATATTAACTCTGCTGTATTGGTGATAAGAATATTCTGAATCCCTTAATATCCATTTTCCTCTCTGAAGTAGCTTCAAAATTGTTAAATGTTCATATTCCACACTGTCTGATATATATACCAAATGTTTTTTCTTCTTAATTAGGAAGTCAAAACTAATTAAAACTTTATAAATATACTATACTATACTATATAAATATACTATACTATTTTGACTGACATCAGTAGGTTAGTATTCCCTTGAACACACCAGAGGGAGAGAGGTAAGACCCATCAATATTTTATCACTGCTGCCCTCTGCTGTGAACAGCCGAACTGACATCTTAAATCACAGCATTAAAATGAGGATTTACAGTGTTTAACCGACCATATATACACACAAGCCCTATACGGCATCATAAAACGGTTCTTTAGGCTGCAGCAGCAGCATTTATGGCACCATAAAGAACCTTTTGAAAACAGTTCTGAGATGGTTCAAACTGCATTTGAGCCACTGAATTTTCACACAGTTTACATGCTGCTACTGTGGTAGCAGTTGCTTACGGGGAAAAATAATTCTTTTTCCTGTGCAGATTGTTGCGGTTGTCTAACCTTCAGGCTCCTCAGAAGTACACAAACAGGTCCAAGAGTGTCTGGGAGCAGGTCCAGAAAAACTTGCACAAAACCAGTTTTTTTATTATATCAAAAGGGTTTTTACTGTAATTTTCTAGGAAATTTACCTTTTTGTTCAGCCTGTGCCTGGAGCAACAAATCACCCTCTGAGGTTAAGGATGAAAGTAAAGAACTTGATGCTTTATACATGGCCAAGTATTTATAAAAATCTAAGGTGAAACACTTTGTATTACAAAGGGCAAAAGTTTTTGACTTCCTCCCTTTGTAAAACTTCTACAGAGTATGAGTTTTATACCAACAGCAGTTCAAACCTCTATACATAAAGAGATCACTTC